TCAAAAAAAGCCACAAAAGCACAACATGAAAGCGCCATAAGAGTGGTGGAGCGAGAGTTACACAGAGAGAGAGAGAGAGAGAGAGTGTGAAAAATGAAGGCAACATTTTGTGATTATCATTGTGGGCGAAAGTGCTTTTTAATGTCGGCGAGCATTTTAAATAATTATTTAATTATAATTAGCTGATGAGAGGAGGGATGAGATGTTGCTCTTCCCAGCAAACCCTTCTCACACACCTTTGCTCTTACCTAGCTAATCACCAGCAAACCTCTCTTCACGCAATTAGCGGCTAAGAAAGGGACGAGCTTTTGTTGTTCTTCTCTTCTACGAGAGCGTTGGCGTAAGGGCTGCAGGCGATCGTCAACCCTGTCTCGATAGAGAGTTTCAACTGTGAACTTTGGTACGTTTGGCTCTTAGCCAAACATAACTAAAGCATAAGGGATACATTCAGATATTCTTAATGCTGATTATCGACGCTCATAAACCAGCAGAGAGTGTCAACCCTCGACAAATGGTACTGGGTGCCCCTTAACGAGGTTTATTCCCCAAATATTGTTGCTTCCTTCCTTCTTCCTTCTTCCCTCACCACACACACACACACACACACCTCTCCTGCGGTAGTTAAATTAATTTAGGGTAGAACATCCTCCCAGAACGAGGAATGTAGCGGAACAGGGTCCACAAAAAAATGAAATAATAATAAATAAATTCATTAACATAAAACACGAAGGGAAGAGGGCGCCCTGGTGGGGGCGAGAGGAGGAGAAAAATGCGTAAAGTGTGTATGGAGGGGCGGGCGGGGGCTGTGCGTGACGGCAGAGTGGAAACCAGAACCCCTCAAGATTATGATCGCCGGTTCGTTATTGTTTTGAACATTTTCATGGCGTTTTTCTTGATTTGTGTTGAAGAGCTACTAAAGCTGCTGTAAGTTCGGTTTTTTGCTAGTTGGTTGGAAGCCAGAGGAAGAGGTTTTGGCATTATACAACCCACTTTTGGTAAGCCACTGCCCATCCACAATTTAGTAGCAATCCATGGTCCACTTCACCAGGTAATTTCAAATGGTTTCGAAGATACTTTTTTGCGAAAATGCTGGGAGAGGAGCAGCCCCTTCCTTCGGCTTTAGATGCGGACTGAGGGCCACAAAAACTTTTTTATGATTTGCACTCCAACATTAGACAATGCCGATACATTTGCTTTGCCAGGGAAATAAGTCAAGCGCTCGGGCATAAACTCATACATAATATTCTGAATGAATTGTTGCGTCCTGGACTAGGTTCTGCCTCTGCCCAAAGCCACAGTCCTGCTATTGCCATTCTTATACCCGTTACTCGAAGAGTAAATGGGGTTTATTGCATTTGTGGTCGAACGGAACATATTCGACCCTAGAAACAGGACTTTTCCTTGCCCGAGATTGGTGTTGCTTTGATTGACGAATGTGATTCATTGCGGGGGGGGGTGTACGATAAAGTCCCAATCAATCTGAAACAGTTGGCAGATTACGGAAAGGTATCAGCCCCATAAACTTTACCTTACACAGAACAACTTATTCCCCTTCTCGAGGCAACCTGCGTGCAGACTCAACATACTCCTACTTGTGAGTATCCTTTGATGGCACACTTTATGTAGCAGTGCTAATGGCGCTTTATTATTGGCAAAGTTATCCGGACTTGGTTACCCAAAAACTTTGCACAGAAGAGAGTGGAGAGGAGGCACTACCGGTGCCCAAAGAGGAGAGGCGGAGGTGGAGCTCGCAGAGTAGCGAGAACGAGCATTGGACGCTTTTGGTTGAGCGGCAGCCAATTTATATGGAAATAGATGCGCGGCACATTTTCAATACGGATTTTCCCATTACCCCCTCAAGCCCGCCTCCCCCTGCTGCAAAGAAAGAGAAGAAAATCGATTTCCATGGGATTGGGGCATACAAATAAGAATCTTAAGCGGAGTCTAAGCCAACGCCACGAGACGCCGAAGGGGATACCTAGACGCAAGATTACTTTACTTACTCTATTCTGTGCAATGTCCCTACCTCTTGTTTTATTTGTATATTTCTTTGGGTGTGTATTTGGAACAAATTACGTAGCGAAAGGTCTGCCGCTGCTGCAGTGGCCTTGTACTTGCTTGATGTATCGCTGAAACGGTCAAATGAAATGGTTCACGCCGCCGAACCAATTTCTTGGCACAAAACGTCTAAAAATATAAAAACAAAACCAAAGCAAATTAGGCCTAAATAAAGGGCTCGTGCCCAAAGTTCAAATCCAGAATGCCATAAAATTGGCTGACGTAAATTCTCAGTTGTAAATACACTCAAAGAGTCCGTGAAACATGAGCGACACACAGAAAACTAACACAGTGGAAAAATCTGCACAAAACTAATATGTACATCCCCATACTCTTTGAGTGTACAAATCAAGTTACAAAGGTTACGTGCGTAGGTTGCCGTTATCCCCCCGGTTTTTTGTTGTATCCTTATCCTCTTTCATGCCATAAAAACTAGATTTTGTGCGGCAAGTTGGCCTCTTTTTCTCGCCAACCATTTAGCCAGTCCCAATCTTATGCCCTGCCTGACGCTTTTATATTGACCAAATCAATTACACAATCATATGCCAAGCTCAGCGGCACGCCTTGGTGCCCTCCATTCTATAGATTTTGCAGCAGACTACGACCTACGACCTACGACCCATCCGGGTGCCGGTGCCGGTGCCGGTGCCAGTTTGCTACCCATCCGAGTTCGGTACTTCCTGCCATTCCATTCTGACACTTGCCACACAACTTTCAATCAAATCAACCGAGCCAACAATGACCAACATGAGCCACGCCCACACATCTACCGCCTGCTAAACTCCCTAATAGCGTCCCCAAACGCAGAAGCAAGTGAAGGCCGACTGCCTCGGAGGCAAAAGAAGGCGATGTTGGCCACGAAAATGAAATGGGCTCTGGCATGGGGGATCTGGGGAAACATATCTTCGTGACAGCGCGTACTGCTACTATTTTTGCAAACGTTTTAAATTAATTGTGGCTAAAGTTCGATTCTGTCAACGCTCGATTTCGGAGCATTTTAATTTCGAGGATTAGCTGCTGAGGAAAGAGACAGAAAGGGATGATGTCAATAGGCTTCGAACGAAAGTTACAGCAAATAAAAGTTTCAAGTGTTGTCCACAAAAAGAGCCCGGAGCCCGGAGCCCGTAGCTGCTTGGGGGCACCAACCAAAAGTCAGGTAGTTTAGTCAGGTGGACGGAGGCAAAGTCAGTTAGTCGCAAGTTTAAATTGACTGACACTTTTCCGCAACTGAATGTTCCGAAAGTTTTGTGGCTCCAGCAGTCGGGCTTCCCATTCCCATTGTTCAGGGGCTTCTGGGACTATCCATCAAGTCGGAAATGTGTACAGGGATGGGATGGAATAGGTTTGGGGCAGTGCAGATAAGACCCAGACTCATGGCGGGGCAGGACGACGGAAAGTGACAAGCAACACGGTCCCTGTTGCACGTTAAAGCTGTCACTTGTTTGCCTTCAGAGAATGTTGCACATTATGGCAACGAAACCTGAGGATGAAAAAACGATTGGCTGAATATCTATTACACCAAGCCCGAGACGAGACTCTAAGGAGCTCGATCTATCTATTAGTTCGTTTTTTGAGAAGACACTTGTCAAGTTTTTGGTAAACTTGTCTGTGATTTTCTCCTCTTCCCAGATGGGTGCGTGACTCTGTCTCAATCCGCATGCGCGTCCTTGTTCATGGCGAGGCCTGCACTTGTTCTGCTCCATTTGCCCAGAAATATTCTGAGTCAATCGTATTTATTGATTGGGTTACTTCTAAATTTTCGGTGGGTCCTGGACTATTCTAGCATTTTGTCTTGGTTTCAGTTGGTGGGGCTTGGTTTCTTTTTGGCTGTCCTTGACTTTTGCCAGGCTCGCACTTTGTGAACACTTTTTGGCAGCCTCATCGCCATTGCCATCGCCTGCCTGAACTGCCGCCTGTCCCGCTGTGTCCTAGCCCTGTTATTGTGGACTGACCAAGTTATGAGTAGTGAAAGTTTCAAAATAGTTTTCTTTTTTTTGTACAACGTTTTTTTCCGAGTGACTTTTATTCGTGTGTATGCTCCTGGCATTGCATGAGGTCTGGGATTTAAGTACTTTACGGATTTTATTGACTAACTCATTCAGCCAGCATTTTCATTGAAAGCTTCATCTGCATCGCGAATATCTAAATAATCCTATAGCCTAAATTATCGGATATTTTAGAGCGTCGCAAAGCAGAGCCCTCGGTCGTTTAAGCTTACTAAATGGGTAACCTCTGAACGACTTATGATACCTTCATAACATTGTACAAATAAATAATTCAAAGAGTTGTATGAACCATCTTTAATATATTCAGTTTTTCGCTCTTTATAAATTTCAAATATTGTGCGGCGATATCAATGCGGTGTAATTTTTAATACCAATACTATTATCGATATATATCTCGATACACAGGGCTGTATTCTTTTTCATGAAGCAACACTCGCTCTTCATAAGTTCATCTACATGACAAAACAACCACATGCCTAGTGGCGACACCTGGCGGTGCTTCTATCAAACAATTTGACAAGCTTTTCCGTTAAATGTTTTTGTCGCCACCACAAAAAATACATCTAGCTTGAAGCTCTTATGGAATAAGTGTACATACTTCAATGTATGTAAAATGTACATACATATTTCTCTAACTGGCGCCTGCCGTTCAAATAATACGTTACAAATGCTTTTTAGGCGGCTTATTGTTTTCTTTATAATCGCTACTGCTATAACGATGTAATAATCTTAGCTTACGCAATAATATATACAGTATTTAGGTACGGACTATAATTAAGTACTAGGCAACTAATTTGGGTTATTTGATTCCAGCCCTTCCTTGGCATTCAGTTGGTAATCCCATACACATATACATATGTATGTACATCAGGTATAAATGTACATATGGACATACATATGTATGCACAACTTTGGACTAGGGCTTGAGGAATATATGTATGTATTTATGTACAAGACGAATGCATCGAATGCTCTATAAAAAAAAATACTAGGTACTTAGAACCGAAGTAAATACAAGGCCTCAATGCTATAAGTATGGCCATAAGTAAGCCAGCCGATAGAGATATACAGATGCACCTTCATACATATGTATTTACATATGTATGTATGCAGTTACATATAGTAAAAGTCGCATTTTATGTATCGCACGTTGAGCCAGCGTTTGGGTGTGGTGTGTTTCGTGTGGTGTTATCCGATGCGCTGCCTGTTGGGGAAAATCTCGTAGTTCTCTCTCCTCCTCCGCAAAGGTTGGCTCCTTCCTCTGCTTCCACCGGCCTAGATGTGTAGAATGGCTTCCGTCGAGGATGTCGAGCGACTAGCACTCGACTTGGACGATGTCTGTGGCGTTTCCATATCCTTGCTCTGTTCCACATCAATATCGATCACCAGGCAGTCGTAGGACGGAGGTGGCAGCTCGAATTTCAACACGCTCTCATAGCTGGGGGGCAGAGTGTCCACAATGCGAAGCACATCATTTTGTGAATTGATCTAACGAGGGGAATAAAAAGTCCAATTAACAGTCAGCGTTGGGAGAACTCTGTGAGATGCTGTCTCCACTTACGTGCGACATTGCTCCGTTGGTGGCTCGATTGCCGGCCTCGTCTATGGGCCCTGCCCAGATGCAAACGCCCATGCGGTGCGTGACATAGCCGCAGATGATCACGCTGATCACCAGCATTCCAATGCCCAGCGCAAAGACCAGCCAGCGCGACTGATCGCTGTTGTCGCGCAGATTCTTTTCCAGCTGCAGCGCGCAGAGAATCAGGACGGGCACTGCCACCATGGCCACCAGTAGATCAACTATCGGACGCTGTGTGCCATGTCCCGCGTTCAGCGGGGCCCGTCCCATTCCTGAGAAGGAGCCAAAGTTGTGGCTGCTGCCATTCGGCGTAAGTGTGGAGCGGGCCACGACTGTGTTGTGATTCTGTAGCACCATTCTGAAAGGCAGAGAGGTGGACACAGATGAGTAAATGGGTTGGGTAAATGTTAATGCTTAACTGACTCTCTTTTGATCACCCAATCTCTTCCCTGATTATGTGTGTGTATTATGTGTGTGCAGACACTATAAACATTTCGATTACTGTTGTGTGGTACGGGGTCATACCTGGAATCAAAGGCGTTCATCAGCCACAAGTCATAGAACGGGAGCATTTCGATATCGGTTTCAGTTTCTCTCACTCTCCTTCTGTGAGATTGGTTTTGATTGAAATCAATTGATTAATTTACTGTTGCTGTCATTCAGTTTTTCGATTGCATATTGCATTCAATGCTTTCGAAAATAATCGTATTGCTTATGGATATTTTCACTAGGATATCTGATCCATTGAAGGCTAGTTGGCCACTTGCCCAAAGTGAGGCTAAAGATGAGGGATAAATGTGGTATTCGTCTCTCCGTTCCCTCACATCATAAGCATTCGTAGGAAGCTTATCAATATGTAATGTCCCTAAAGGGATTGGGACCAGGACAGTTTAGCTCGCAGAGGAAGCGATAAGGAGTCAAGAAAACACTTTTGAATGCATAATATTTCCACCTCGGTTGCCAAGGCAACATCCGACAAATAACACTTGAGCATTGGGATTCGGATTCGATTTCAGTTTCGTTTTCACTGGCAAAAAAAAAGAACAATAGCCACGGCTGGTCGGGCTGAAACCGATTTGCTGCGAACTGGACCGGTCAAGTGTTTGGAATCAACTCGAAAAGCGTCCCAGTGAGTATAAGCGTAGTACTGATGGACTGCTGACTGCCGGGATACCCAGCAGTATGAATAGTCCGGGGTATGGTAGAATTACTAATAGCTAACGTCGTCAGCTGAGTGGAGGAGCACCAGCTTATTCACCACGCTCTCTCAGCTCTCAGAGAGGCAAGGGCTAGAGAGAGATAGCAAACGTTTATTAGTAATTTCACCATGATTTCACCATGAGCTGGTGTTCCTCGAATGAGAAGGATGTGGTGAATCTGTCACCTATTAGTAATTTCACCATGGTCCGGGGGATAGATAGATTTCATACACCATAAAAAAATATATCAACGCATACCAAAATGCACAAACTACCTTCTTCCTAAGGGGTAGCACTAAAAAAAACATTAAATTGCAATTCAAGAATTCAAAAGCGAAGCAGAAAATAATTTTTTGTCATTGCGGTTGTGTGGGCAGTCCGCATAATGGCAGTGGGACGGGGTGTAAAACCAAGAGGAGGAGTTCTGGTAAAAGCAAAAGAAAATAATGATAGGAGGGAAGTTACTAAGGTTCTTGTCGTGGCTTTATCTAAAAGCGAAAACAAAGTCACAGCAAAGCAGAAACAGGTTGCAACTGGCTCGGGTCGTTCATTATATTTTGAGCTTTATCTAAAAGATGTCTGAACTTTACCAGAGATACTGCACAAGAGAAACCTTGTGTATACCACTGAGACAAGACGTAAATGGCAGCACAGTTCTTCTCTAAGATTCTAATTATGGAACCAGCTGAAAATTTAATGTTATAAAAGGAACAATACCTGTACACATACGTATGTGCAATGATAGCTTCTGCAAACACGCAAATAAATTCAAAAATCTATTAAGAAATTAACAAACCAAAGGACAGTCTGCCTCCATCTGCTTTTATCCCCCCACTTGGGTCACATGACAAATGCAAATAAAATATGGAAATGTCCATAAGAGTGTGCATCATTATCAGTCCAGACAGCTTCGTACTGATAAGACGCATCTGTCTCCGCTCTTTGGTTCGGCTTGCATATGCACAATGTACCGGTTTTGTCATTGTAACTTTTTCATTCGCCCTCGTTCTGCTCGTACCGTACCCAACCCACCACGAGGAACTGAACTTATCGTTGTCAGTGACTCTCCATTTGAATGATGTAGTGCCCAAATGTGGAAGTTCTCGTCGTTAATTTATAAATGTTTCGAGGTTTTGAGGCGAGGACCCAGTTTTGGTTCCAAGAGCCGTTACACTCCGATTTACGTATGTAAGTCGCTGTCCGAAATCAGGGCGCAATAACCCTACCCTTTTTTTTGGCATTAAATGCAATTTAAAATGCAATTAAAAAATTCGATATTCGGAGCATAGTTCGTATGGCAGCTAGACTTGATCGGACTATGAAAATATCTTATAATCACTTATTTATGGTATTTATTGTAATTGTCGCTTCTTTTTGGCAGATAACAGTTTCAGGCACAGATATCTTACGCAAAAGTTGAAGATACAAACACCAATCATTGCTTGAGCCATCAACTTCCGCCTTGCGTCAGAGTCTGTGGACTTCCGCTCAGAGAAGGCTACATCTGCGCCCGCTACCCCTTGCCCAGTGACAGATAATATACGAAGTACTACGTGCCCAGAAGAATTTTGAGTAATTTTTGCATATTTTCACTTGTGAATGAAGATCATTTCATGAGCATCGGCTCTAGTCAATGACCAGAGGCATGCATGCATATGTACTTGATAATCTCGTATCGTATCATCATATAGGGAGTAATCAACTGAACAAGGCAGGTTCCCAGTCCAACGAAATAGTACAATATCTCGATACGTTATTGCATGTCAACTGTCGCTGCCTTTGCCTCTTCCTGACCAAATTAATTAATTTTCTTAAATAAAAATTTTCCTTGTGACTCTAATAGACACACACGCCCACAAAACAAGGGCACCAGTGAAGCCAGGGAAACTGAGTAAAAAGTATTCTTTATATGGGTATGGGTATGTGTATGGGGTTGTTGTCTTATCTCATACGATTCGTTCTCCTGAAAATGAGCAATTACGAGTGCTGCGTGATTTTGACTTTGACAGGAGAATAGAGTGTCAGCTGAAAGCTTGTCACTGGCCCAGAAACCCAATTGAATCCAAGTGCAAAGATCAGGCATAAGAATATACCACTGCAGAATATTATTACTCGTAAATAAATCGTTTACGTCTGCAAATATCGGAATAACTGATGACTCTGCTCGACTTTTTAGCGAGTAAGCTAAAATTCTTGTTTGTGGCAGCTTTTATGTGGGATCTTCGTACCAAGACGTTCGCCTTTTGTCGCTTGGTAGGGCCTCCACACGGATCGTCAATCAGCTCGATAGGGCAATGCATTTTTTTCTTCATATTTCTTTCTTTTCTTTAGCTAAAGGTGTACTCAGAAAAATAATCTACGCAAATATCACAAAGATACACATATGACAACAACGATATGATTTCCACAAAGTGAGTGAATTTCCCTATTTGCGTTCGTTGAAATGCGTCATTGCCCAGCCCCAGATGTTCAGTGCATATGATTCAAGCTTCATTATTTCTCTCTCCTCAAGCAGGGAACTGCAATTAGCCTGCTTGCTGATCTTCTCGTGCTTATCAGTCCAAGCCGATAACAACGGTAAAAGCTCCTAGGTGTTTAACCTCTATGAATAACATGGTTTTTTTTTTGTTTTCAAAAAACTACCATGGAAAACAAGCACCGCTTGGAATTAAAATATAGTTGGGAGCAGTGGAACAATTTATAGCAAATTTACCTTATTCTAGCCTACTTATAAATGGAGTCACTCTGTATGGACCTAAATATGTACAAGTTTATGGGCGTAAGTATGAGCCTTCCATTGCTTGCTGAAGTGCTTTACACGAACCAGAATGAAGAAATGACGATGATTCCCCAGACCTATTCAACCAAGGAGAGTAATAAATGTACATACATATGCATGTACATATGTACATATATGTATGTATTAATTGATCGGATCAGTGCTGTTAAATTGTGAATGGGCGTATGTGTCAGCCGTTGTTGATGCCTTTTGATTGACCAAGTTGCCTGGGAGTCGATTGGGAGGGTGGATGGCTTCCCCATAAAGTGGAAGCTTCCTATTGAAAACTGAGCGTATGTATTGGATACATGTCTTTAGCTACATATGTATTAGTGACCCTCTTTAGCAAAAACCCTCCATGGTAAAAGCACAACTTTTTCTTCATATTGTTGCTCATTGTGTTTTGGTTTTGTTTGCTGCTGGACTACGCAAGAAAATAAATAAATATCACACATTCGTACATACATATATTGTACATATGTATATTGTACATATGGTTTTATATTGTATAAATGTTATACATACATATGTACATATATGTTCACTAATAAAAGCAACAAAATAAATTAGTTCTATTCTGCTATCAATAAATTGTGTTTACGTACATATATATCTGTTGTTTCTCGGTTGTACATAAATATATATGTTGGTATGTACATATTTATGTACATATGTACATGCATGTTTTTGTTAAAATTGGGAACAATTTGTAGTTCTACCATGTTTACGCATCTCAGTTGGCTTTTCTACATATTTTTGTGGGATCTTTCATGGAATGCTGCAACTTCGAACGAGAAGCAAACACCTGTGTTTCTTCTTAGCTTTTTCATTTGGGGGATAGTTCCAATCTTCTTCGCCTCCCAAATTGCATGGCATGGCCCACATACACCATCACGAACATACATATGTACATACATACGTTCGTACACACTAAAGAAGAGAGCATAATTCTGCCTCTGTCTCTCCACTGCTCCTCCTTTCCAATTTTGTGAATTTTATTTATAGGCATAGAATGAAGGGTGAGTTGTAAACATGTTTGTCGGAATTTCGTACTCACTTGAGAATTTCTCTGAACGCTTCTCTTCCGCTCTTCTCGCTCTCGTTTCTAGCAAACACACTCACTCTCACTCTCTGTTTATATATATTTGGGGATGCTGCCTTCTGCTCTGCTCTTCTTCAGATCGAGTTGTATTTTTCGCGTATTTGCGAACAACAAAAAACAGACACAAAAACAAAAAGCACGAAAATGTTGTGTTTTTATCAAGAATTTTGCACGCGATTCGATTGATTTGACGATCGCGGTTGCCAAAGGCCAGTGCGGGCAGCGGCAAGTTGAATGGACTATCTATCTGTGCTGGCTCTGAGTGTACTCGTAGTGCACCTCCTGGTTTTGGTTTGGGTCCTGGTTCTCGCAGCTGCTGCCTACTCTCACGCAATGGATCCAATGCCCGTGAACCATCACAACAATTCCACTATGAGCAAGTGGTTGATGGTCGCGTATGGTGCTACCTCCTTGGCCAGGATCTCTATCGAGTGCGTTCTGCTGAACTTTAGACAACTCCGGAATTCGAGGCGAACACAAGAGAAGCACAACCGAAGACGACCGGTCTAAGCGTAAGAGTTAACGTTCAACAGACTCGTGCACTCGGAACAAAATTATTGTTATTTATTATTGTTCCTCGTTCATATGTTTTTTTCGAACAAGTCGCGCAGATCTCCGGATGAACCAAGGCGAGCATTGACTAAGCAGCAACTGTGCCGTTCCAATCGCTTTTGCGTCTGCTCTGGCTTCGAGACTCTCTACTCACGTCTGCTGCTCACGGCGACGTCGGACAGTGGGGCATTTCGAACATTTTTGCACAATTATTATACGTTCTAACAAAGATTCCGTCT